TTCTAGTGGTAGATTCATTCGATTTTGCTAATCCTATTGAAGAAAGTACCATGAGGCCAGCTGCCAGGTTGGAGACTTCCTTGTTCTCTCTCTCCCCTCCTACCCCCTTCCAACCCCTTCTCTCTTTGTGTCTTTGTTTGTGTCTGTATCTGACCACTGCCACCAAATTGCCCGAAGAAGAAAAAAATGAAGATGAAGATGAAAGGAAAACAAAAACAGCAAGGAAGAAGGGAAAAAAAAAAAAAAAAAACCCCCATCAAAGAAGAAGAAGAAGAAAAAGACAGCAAAGAAAGAGAAAAAGAAGAAGAAGAAGAAGAAGAAGAACAAGACAAAGAAGAAGAAGAAAACAAAGAAGAAGAAGACAAAGAAGAAAAAAGAAATTATCGGTGCAAAATTTTCAAAAGGACTCTAATACCATATCAGTCATTAAAAAAATAAAAAAACATTTTTTTTGTTTTTCTTTTATTTATTCCTCTTTATTTATTTTTTAACCGATTTTTATTTTTTAGTTTTTATAATTCGTAAATCAAGTCAAATTCAAAAATAAAAATAATGCAGTTGTAGGGTTTTGAAAACCTTACAACCCCCTATATATATATATATTCATGTATTTTTTGACAAAAAAAAAATCCAAAAAATTAGGCCGCAAGCTAGGCCTCCTGGCCGAGGCGACCGAATTGTCCGCGGCCTAAGCCAGAGATGTCTTGTAGCTCTCCGCTATCGTCTCCAACTTCAACTTTTTACCTCATCTCACTCCGCTCCCCTTCCACTTCGTTTGCTAGCCAAAGACGCTCTATGATCCGTTCACACACATGTTTCACCTTTGCATATGGCCAAAAATTAGCCGAGACTCAAATAGACGATATCTAAGAGCGGGAAGTAGGAAAGGTCATGAGCAAACACGAAGCCGAATGGTCTTACGAGCACAAGGAGGACTCTCTCGAGGTTGGCGTAATCATTGACCATGCCTTGTCATTTTCGCTGTACCCAACTTTATGACTGTGCTTGACTGTTTCATCGACGCCCACGGAAACAGATGTGACCATAGACAAGGAGATGTGCATGCAAGAAAACGTAAAATGAGAATAACTATGAGTGCACAATCTCCATACCTGATCTTGATTGTTGTGAGGCGACACCAAACTTTCTCCCTTGTTATTCACACAAGCACCATTCCTCCACCCTTACTTTCAACTCCTCCTCTCCTTATTTTAGGCATCAACAATCACTCTATTGTTGCTGTCTGGTAGGCTTGATTGATCACCGGTTCCCTTTCCTCGTCATCTCCCTCCTCTACTCACCTTTTCTCCTTTCCAACCTCTTGCTTCCTCCACCATTTCAAGCTCGATAACTTCAAACTCATTCGCGACCGACTTTTATGGCTCGTGCACTAGGCTACAATCGTGATAAAAAACAATCTAGCCTTGCAGACCATACCACCTCCTCGCTTAAGTTACTTACCTTGATGATACAAGTAGCTCCGTCACACAAACCGCCAGATGAACTCAGGCAGATATTCCATCTCCCTCGTTGTCGCCGCTCCCTCTCTTCGTCTATTTCCCTTTTCCTCTTCACCACATTCACTATTTCCTCTCCGTCTATGACCGACGACTCTTCGGGATGGCGGTGTTGAGCACGACGGTCCCACACCTTGTGGTAAGTGTCGGACCTCACGGTCGTGTCACAAGGAGTAATGCATTGCGTTTGAGTCAGCGGAGATACTACTCCGACCGTATGTGCCAGACATACCTCTTACGACTTGCTGTGACAGGACAGAGCTCCGCAAGGTAGAATTCACCTCTACGTGAAGGGTTGTCACCACCCTTAGGTAGGCGTATCCGTGCTGAGCTACGGATTCACGTGCGAAAACTTTTACTTACAATCGCAGAGGTAAATCATTTAAGAATGTTGTTTTGATCGCTGCAACATAGGCATACGCGAGGTAGAACACCTAAGACTAATTTGTATATGTGTCGGGCATCGGGGCACTGAACTCCCGGATCGACTTTCGATTCATGTCGACTTAACTGATGGACTTTCGCGCATACAACACATTAATCTATTGCCCTAAACCCATAAATTATATATATTATATGAATTATTTCCAATCAATACACATAGAACTAATAAACCATAATGACTGAGACTTAAAGACAAAAAGTTATCTTTACATTTTCACACAAGCAAAGGAAAACATCAAAATGCACAAAGCTTTGACTTTTGGAAGAGAAACAAGCATAGACTTTTGATCGTTCAATCATGCATAAAAAATAAAGATAGGCGCGTGGACTTTCAATAAAATTGTCAATGATTCATATTTGTTCGGGATCAAGAAAGAGCGAGATTGAACGTCCAAAACAGATGTAGAAAAATTATGCATCGTTGAAGTGTCTGAGTGAAGGCACGGATGAACATAAGTTTGTCAACATTATCTACATCGAGAATAACGAATGAATGGTCGTTTTACTGATCTGCAAACAAAACCCTACGTATTACTCAATGCTAACAGAATCAACCATTTGTTCACTTTCACAAATATTACACTTACACTTTCAAACCTCTCAGCCAACCACCACCGTTTGAACTTGGTCATTTTGTTACATTTGATTTAAGTCATTTAAATATATTTTTGTACCAAACACAGACCCTTTAGACAATGAACCCAAAATAAAAAATGCCTCATCGTACAGAGGTCGATGTAAAGTGTGAGTGTCGAGGGTGAGTGAGGGTTGAGTCGGCAAACCGAGCTATTCATATAAGGCAACAACATATAATCTTGTGTAGACTCATAATGAGTCAACTTAGAATGATGACTTAATTAAAATGAGCTGCAATCATACACAAGTCAACACGGTCTTAACACCCCTCGGAATCGATATGACCCTATATGAAGTTCAGTAATATGAACTTCAAATTTAACAACGAACAATTTTCTTTAAAAAGGTAATGCTTTGAATTTCCTATCCGATCGTACCTAAGAGATAAATACAGATTCAAGTAACATAATAAGACTAAATGTAAGTAAACAGTATAAAGACCCTCACTAAAGTCTTCATCCTACCACTGACTAGTCCAATAAGATGCAATCGAGTAACAGAACGAATCACAATGAAGTCTTTATTATGCCGCTTTATGAATCCGACTAACCTATACTCATACAAACAATAAAAAACTCACACTAAAGTATCTTTCTTTCCTTCTTGTAGTTCAATATTTTTTTTTTTTTAGAATTAAAATAATTCTAAAGTAAAATTACATTCTAAATTTCAAATTTTCATTCCATCTTAAAAAAATTCATTCCAATTTTAAAATTTTTCGTCTTGCGTGAATACTTTCCTTCCAAGAATGGGGTATCCCTTCTTATTTGAACTGCATGCTAGAGATGGAATGAAAGTCTGGATGAGTTCATTAAATATTTTACTTGGTTAATCCAATTTAAATTAGAAGATATTTGTTGTTGTAGAATGAAAGACTAATTAAAACATTTCATAAACTCGTCGAGACTTTCATTCCATCTTAAGCAAATAGATGTAGTTGGAAGGGAAAACTCATATTTAGACGAGAACTTATCAAAGTAAATTGAAAATTTTAGAATTCGACGAACATTAAAATGATAATTTATAAATATGAAGGGTTTTTGTTTTATGGAATGTTTTTTCAACTTTCATTTCTCCTGGGAATTTTTATGTTGTTGCTTTTAATTTGAGTACATGGGAGTAGTATAATGATTCACAATGAAGTCTCTTACCACTTGTTCAATACCAAACAATCTGCATCCAAACAAGTAGTCAAATAACTCACACTAGAGCTGCGTAGCACAACGAACGTGTTCGCGCACCTTCGTGTTCGTGCGAACGTTTTCCCGCGTTCGGGCGAACAACTCGCGAACATGTTCGGACGAACATATATTTTTTTCCGTAAAAATATATATACATATATATATATATATATTTTTTTTTTTTCAGTTTTTGATTTTTAACTCATGATCGGCTACGAATTTGAACTTGACTCCGAGACAAAAGTTGCTTGATCGTCATTAGTTCTTGTGCTTCGTAGGATGACTCTCAATTTCTTTTGTAAAATCGATCGAACTTCTGCTAATTTTGTTGTTTGTGGCCAGAATAGATGGTTTCTATAATGCCGACTATCGATCGCTGGAACTTCGGGGTAGGACTGCTTGTGATTGGCGTGGTATCCACGACGGTACTAGATGGTACCGGTAAGGCCCAGGGGCTACCGAAAGTAGTCTACGGAAGGTTTCGGTAAGTGCAGGATGAGGTACTAGAACGTTGTTTTGGTTTTGCGACTGTGTTTGCGTTCTTTTATCTTTTCGACTTTTTGAAGTTTGATTCTCTCGTTGTGTTTGACTTGTTAAAAACAGTCTTAGGTAGCAGGACGAATATAACAGCAAAACAGCATTTGCTTTAACCTCTTTTGGGTCCTTGTCCTCCCGATGACAATCTAGATGTTGACGAGAAAGGGTTAGTGGAACGACGGAGAAGTGGAGGGATGAAGTGTGGTGGAGAAGCCTCCTGAGGACAACCGTGTGGCGACAGTCGAAACCGGTCGGGGTTGCCATTCCCAATCGGAATGCTGTGTTTGCTCTTTTGCTGTAATCAGTACACTCGCTGTGTGTCATCGTACACGAGTAGTGTACGATATGTTTTGGACGAGCTTGTACTAAAGTGCTTGGTGCTTTGTGTGCTTAGTGTCTTGAGCACTTGCTGTCTTTTACTATCTGAACCTACAAAGGGCGCGTGTGAACCTGTCTGGATACGGGATAGCCCGGGCTTGAGTGAGCACGTTAATCACGTACGTGTACTTCTAAGTTCTCAATTCCGACGGGCGACAACGAGTTGACGTTACGAGACAAGTTGGTGAACTGAGGTTGTTGGACAACTGCGTTACATCTGTAATGATGGCGAACAGGGATTCGCGGGACCACGCACGTGATGGAGAGCGGGGGAGACAGGAAGGAAGGTCGGAGGGTTGGAGGGACGAACGACGCGGCAGGAACAAAGATTTCTATAATCATGACGATCGGAGGGAGACCTCACGTGAACGAGGATATGCGTCAGGGGAACAACGGCGAAGGGGACCACCGACATGCTACGAGTGCGGACAAGTGGGGCACTACCGTAATCAATGCTCGAAGCTCGCGGGTGAAGGGACTTCACGTCCGAGTGGCGTACGTGACAAGTTACCAGACCGTGAACAACTAAAGAAACAAGTAGAAGAACTTGGGACATCACTGGCGTCTGTGCAGGAGCACCTCGAACAAGAAAATCGACGACGACAGGAGAGGGAGCGGCAAAAACAGGAGAAAATCCGGAAGAAGCTACGGGAGGAAGAGGCGAAAGCGGCGCAAGCCGAAAAGGAAAGAAAGAAAATTGCTAAGTTACGCGCAACGGAGGAAACGAGGATGCAAATGCGCAAGGAGATGCGGATGGAAGTGGCGATGGCAGTAGGCGGACTATCGGAACACATAGTTGGGTTGACGGAGGAAATCCAACACGTAAGGCGAATAAGTACGAGGAAGGTGAGAGGCAAGCAACGTGCGCTGTCACCCACGTCGTTAAATGCGTCAGCCTCGAGTGAAGGGGAGGCTAGCGATGTCGATGAGATCAGTGCACGCACGGGTAAACTGCAGATCTCTAAGAAACGGAAACGTAGCTCGGAGAAACCGGTTGGGAACAACCCACCGGTGATGCAACAAGCTAAGCGTACACCAAGAGCGGCTCATGTGAAGCCGGTGCGACTGGCGGGCAAACTACAGAGATCAGTGAAGAAGAGCGGCAAGAAGAAGAGCGGCAAGAAGAAGACACCGGCAAGATATACTCCACGAAGGGGAACACCCAAGACAAAGATCGCGGTGAAGATTGGAACAGTAGGTCGAGCTCAGTACATCTGTGAGAACATTTGGGCGCTGTCAGAGTTCGGTGCTGACGAACTCAAGGATATTTGTCGAAAGGAGGATGTGGAGTACGAGAACAAGGTGTTGGCGACCATTAATATCGTCGAGAAGCGTGCTATTGAGGCATATGGTAAGGACGAGGAGGATGTGACGGACGACACAGTCGAGATGGTGTTGCCGACAAGTGACGATGACGAAGAGGCGGAACCGGGCGCCGATGTCGCGTGAACTGATATCGAAGGTGTGTGCCTTCGCATGTTATGCGATCGCATCATTGAGTGGCGGTACACGAATCTAGTGAATAACATGGTTGAACGTGTTTTCCGTTTGATTGTGATACTGCTAACGTTAGAGGGGCAGGTTCATGCGTTAGTTAAGTGCATCGACTCATGGGTACGAATGTATGCACGTATGGGACTCAGTTTCTTGGATTGTGGAACGGTCGTGTATGTGATTGCTTCGATTCGATGCCGCGCAATGTATATAGGGTAGACGGGTAGAGGTGGTGACACGAGATGGCGGGAGCACGTGTCAAGAATTGAACGGAACAGTAAGGACACGCATCTGTACCGGTGGTTACGATCGTTCGAGCGGGAGTCTTACGTACTAATCCCTGTTGAGCTTTGCACGGATAATCAGCTTTTAGCTTTCGAACAACTGTATATACAGCGATGGGGTCCGACTCTGAACACGAATGGAGTGAGGAGGAAACGAAGAAGAAGGAACAAAAGGCGGGTGGGGAAGAACGAAAGGAACAGAACGTTGGGCAAACGAGCTGTTGTACAGTCCACTATGGCGATTAGACGAGTAAGCGTGCGGATTAATAACCAGGAACACGATGTGAAGGTTTTCAAAACGTTGGCCTAAGCAAAGAAGCAGGGTCTTCGAAAATTCATGATGAAATCGGAAGGAGGGAACGTGTGGGTTGACGGTTGGAAAAAGATCCGAAAGGCGTTCGGAATGACTCTAGTAATTATTGACGGTAAAGCGTCTACTCTGGCCAAATGCAACAAGGAATTGGAGGAAGGGAAGGTAGTGAATGTGGGATATCTACGGCGGTGGCACCCAAAAGGCAATCAGGACAAGAAAACTTTGGTCAACATGTTGCGGAATCCGAAGTGGATTGGTGAGCTGAAGAGCTTCGATGTCGCGGTGCTGTTCCGGTACTATAGATCGGCGAAGAGTTTTCACAAGAAGTTAACGAGAGCAGGGTTGTCACGCGGGGGCCCCCGGGGGCAAAGCCGGGGTAGGGGTTTGACCCCCGGACCCCCGCCGCGGGGGTGC